CCACATATCCCCATAAACAGTGCTTCTTACTCTGTAACTGTTATGGTCCAGGTTAGGACAAAGGAAGAACAACACGAACACAAGAGTAGAAATAACGAAGGTATATTACACAAAATAATAATACAAGATGTGGAAGGTGTGTTGTCAGTCTGGTTTGGATGAACTACTATCGGTCAGTCTGTAGTGTACATAGTTTGGTTCATTCTCTAGTTATAGGAGGACTACTAGCTTTTTTACCTCGCAGGGTCTTTAATATTTTTTCCTCTTCGGAGGCTCTGTAAATTTTCTTTTTTCTGTTTGATTTCCCTGAAATTGCTTGAGGCCTTTTGTATATAGAAATGTGTCAAATATTGTGTCCGTTACTTCCTCCTCTTCCTGAGGTACCGTTAGAATCTTCTAGTGTAAGAACTTTGGACCTGAATTATGTAAATCACGTTCCCGATTCGTTTCTCTATTGTACCTGGCTCCCAATAGGATGTGTTGTTTTTGAACATTTAAAAAAACTTTCTCCCCTGGGCTAAATTTTCTTTTAGTACAAAAACGACGTTGGTGATTGCTTTGTCTGTTTTGGCGGGTCGAATACAACATGCACGTTAGAATAAATTCTTGATAATAAAAACCAATAACTAAAATGCATTTTTTTATTGCCGCGGCTCTTTGTTCTGTCTTCTTCTTCTTCGTTAATAATATGGCCCAGATATTTTATCTCATATTTATTTTCCTTTGCCTTAAAACCGTAATTTTGTATCTGCCTGAAAACCTTTGAACGTGTTCCCAGTGTTGTTCAATATTTTGCTATTTATCAGGATGTCATCAAGGTATGCGATCGTGAAAATTTAGCATAATATCAATTATTTGGTCAAATATCGCCGGCGCGACCTTGATCCCGAATGGTAATCTCTGGAACTTGTATAATCCTTTATGTATTTTTATGCACAACAACCTCGAGCTTTCCTCATTATATTGGTATTTTAGGTATGCTTCGCTCAAATCTATTTTTGAGAAAAATTTTCCTCCGTTCAACTTTTGAAAACTTCCTCTGGACAAGTGAGAGAATAGTGATAATCCTTAATCGCTGCATTCAATCCCGTCGAGAAATCAGCGTCGTAACTCATTTTTACTGCCCGTAGTAGTAATTCTTGTAGTTCGAGTTGCTTTTCTTAATTTTTCTGTTGAAAATTGTTTTTCTTCAAGCCTAGTCTGTCTTTCCACATTTTTTTTTTTTTTCAAATTGCATTTTCCGCCGCCAGTATGGTTTGCCTTTTAATTTTTAATTTAATACAGTCTATCTGTTGTGGGGAAAAAAAAAAACCTACTTTTTCTCCGGCAATATGTACTTTTTAGAGTTTGTACTTGTGTAACGATTTTTCCTTTTTTTCACAGTGTAACTTCAGGTCTTTGTCGTCTGTTGTTCTGGAAACGAAAAATTTTCCTGCGTAAATTCGATACTGACAGGTAAAAAAATGGTTGGTGTAAAGTTTTTTTTATCTTTTAAGAATCTCAATAAAATATCTGTTATGGAAAAAAAAGGTTTTTTTTTTTTTTTAAAAACGTAGAATCAGTATCCTCGTCGCCACTGTTATGAAAAGGAAGAAAACACGAACATAAGATACAAAATAATAATACAAGATGTGGAAGGTGTTAATGACTGTCAGTCTGGTTTGGAGTGAAACTATCGGCTCGACTCGAAAAGTTCATAGACATAGTGTTTGGAAGAGTTCATTCTCTACAGGAAACATGAACAGGGTGAACAAGTGTAAAACCAATAACAAAATGTATTGTTGTTTATCTCTTACCGTGTTACTTTTAATGATAATTTAAATTCAAATTAATTTTATACTTCGAAATTGCCGTGGTATTTTAATATACTGTACGTTTATGACCTTGTAAAATCTCTTTAATACATTTTTTTAATTACGCCGCCACTAATTTTTATTTTCATTGTGTTACGGGTTTGATTGACAGACTCCTACAAAAATATTAATAAAATAAAAAAAATAAAATAAAATTAATAAAATATCGGAAAAAAAAAGTAAAAACATAAGAAAACTAAAAGTAATACAAATAAATGATACAAAAGAAAAGATGAGGAATGAAACATGAAACATGAACGAAGTTCTGTACAAACAAATAAATACTTGTTTGAATTTTTCGTTTGCATTTCTGAAGGTGAAATACTTTATTCATCCGCACGTGCTACTCTCGCCGTGTTCTCTTCTCGCGAGAATAAAACTCCCGCCCATTTATTTGCTTTTGTTTTTTCTTCTTCTTTGATTTAAGAAAGGAAATTTAAGAAAAGCAACGAAAAATGTCTTCATTTTCTCCTGCTGGGATTAATTTTCTAAGTCCGAGCCAAATATTTGAGAATTTAATACACATTGCTACGAGCGAAAGCGAGCAACCAAAATTCAGTCATTTATTGCAATCATTTTTTTTGTCTGTTTAACTCAGTGATCAGCAAAAATTGATTATGGCTTCAGTATTTCTTTTCTGTATTTTTTTTATAAACATTGGACCTATCTAAACAAAAGGCAATGTCTGTATTGCTTTTGTTCAACCCCCAAAAAACCTGCGTTAAGACATTTCGAAGTTTCTACAAGTTTATTTACAATTCTGTCTGCTGGATTGATTCATCCTATTAATACATTGGCGCAGTTTTAAAGAACGCGGTAAATTCTTCATATATATCTGCCTTCTCAGAATCTTGCCCGAATCAATGGTAGATTCTAAAGGGAAATTTGTTTTTGCAACACAATACTTCTAGAAAAAAGCCACTTTAGCCCGATGCCATTTCCCTTTCTCGTTAACCCATTTTCTTTTTTGAAATCTTTCCTTTTGCATATGATCCTTATTCGAAGCTGATTCTGAAAGTAAATCGTTTGAAAGACAATATGACTATGATGAAGGCCGAGTTTAAATTGAGCGTTACTAATAATTCATATTTACCAAGATGAAACATACGACGGCAAAAGAAGCCCACACATTCATACATACACACGCATATATATATATATATATATATATATATATATATATATATATATATATATATTCAAACAGGTTTACTTAAATAATTTAGACATATCATGTCGATTAGTTTTCAACAAAAATGTTACTTCCCTTATATTGAAAAAAAAACCCCAAAAGAACACGTGAACTTTGCACTTTGAAATCTAGAATGCTGCATAAGCAGTAAAAAAACAAAACAACGAACAGTTGAAATATTTTAAATTAACAGAAGCACATATACATACTCACAGACAACCGCCTGAAGATGGTCCCAGATGAAATTGAAAATACTTGGTGAAAATAAAAACTAAAAGAAAATTTTGGTATTTTTCTTATTCAATTTTCTAAGTCTACCAAAAAATTAATCCGTGAATTTGAAAGGATCACAACGAAAACTAATCGACATGATATATCTAAATTATTTAACCAAACCTCTTTTTATATATATATATATATATATATATATATATATATATATGGTGGTACTCGCTTGGAAAATGCTTCGGTATTTCGGCTTTAAAACTAGTACCCAAGGAAAAATGAGGAATAAAAAGAACGAAGAACATGAAATTGAGGCGAAAACAATCGTCCAGAGTTCAAGCTCAGAGTCCAAAGAAAAAAAAAACTCCAAAACAAGTATAGGCAACTAGGTAAAGTGCTCAATACCCAAATTAAAGCAAATCTAAGATAAACCTAAGGAGCCAAGCAAACCTACCTAGGTTTCACCTAAACGTATCGTCAGGGTAATGCTGGCCAACATTACCCTGACGATCCGTTTAGGGGAAACCTAGGTAGGTTTGCCTGGCTCTTTTAGGTTTATCTTTATCTTATATATATATATATATATATATATATATATATATATATAAATATGTTTCATTAAATAATATAGACTAGTGTTGTCTATTTTATGTAAATTCTTTTCATAACATCTGATAAGCTTAATAACATTATCATTAAACAAAGAAAGAATATCACAATATTGATCCATATTTTTTAATCCAATCTAAGCTTTCGGCTTACATAAGCCATTATCAAAGATGTCAATTACTGTACAACATATTAAGCAATATACAGACAAGACAGTGATGATAGTCTCCTATTGTTTACATGGATGATTTCCAAGCAACGATAAACACGTGCATATAAGACGCTAGAAGCGAAAATCACAACGCGGCTCATGACGTCACGCATGACCACGCGAGAATGAATTCGAGAAGTATTAAGTATGGGAAGCCGTTGGTATAAACCAATGGCTTCTGTTACCAATTATAGACATTTAAGGATATTTGTAGAGATTCCATAATTGATTTTGTTTAGGTCAGGTTTCAATTGTTTGATGGATATAGCTTCAAGGATTTTTAGTTTTTGTCTATTGTTTTCATGTTGAAGTATAATTGTGTTTCCGACAAGGATTTTACGGAATTGTGTGTGCGGGCAGGCATGTTGTTTTCATTCAAATGTAGTGTCAAGCGTCGTAAAAGCGAGTTTGTGGTGTGACCAACATAAATATTATTTAATTCGTTGGAGATACAATCTCCCAAAGGGCATTTGAATTTATAAACTACGTTGGTTTTCGCAATTCGCTAACCGGGGGAGAAGAATCATTGTGAAGAATTAAGTTGGATATACTAGATTTCCTTTCTTCGTTTAATGATAATGTTATTAAGCTTATCAGACGTTATGAAAAGAATTTACATAAAGTAAATAGACAACACTTGTAAGTTTAACCCTGTACAAAGCCCTGGTGCCACTCGAGTTAGAGGGTTACATCATAAGGTAGTTCATGCGGATTAAGGTAGTGGTTCTCAGGAAGAAGTTTTTCGTGAGGAACTTGCTTTTCGCCAATGGAAAACAGAGGGAATGCGGGTGGGCTGCTACAATGTGAGTGGCATGGTGGGTCCTAGCCGTGATGGTTAGACCGGGAGGAACCAAGGAATATAGTTTGCCCGAGCAATTGATATGGAAATAACGATAGAGCAGTGACAGACTCGCAACATCTCGCTTGAGAGAGAGAGAGAGAGAGAGAGAGAGAGAGAGAGAGAGAGAGAGAGAGAGAGAGAAAGAGAGAGAGAGAGAGAAGTATATTCAACATCATCACTTGATAAGACACCGGAGGTGTTGAAACAAAATGGCTATTTTTGTAGTGATTTCATAACATATTTATGTTATAATTTTTTAAATAAATATATATATATATATATATATATATATATATATATATATATATATATATATAATTAAAAGGAACGCTTCGCTTTTTAATTTTATATATATTTCCTTCAGATTGACAGACGTCCGAGACAGAAAAAAGAAGCAACTAGAAAAAATGTAAGACTTGTCATTGTTATTGATGATGATGATGATGATGATGATGATTAAAGGGAAGGATTTGCTTGGTAATGTCTCTTTTAGCGTTACAAAAGTTACACACAGAGGACAACAAAACAACGCGAAACCACTTTTCAGTATTATATACGATGATGATTAAACTGGTGAGTTTGTTAATTTATCCGTTTGTTTTTAACGGTACAGGCAGAAATAAAGTAAAAGAAAAACTAACACTTTTCATTTTTATATATGTTGAGGGTTAAAGGGCAACATTTGCTTGTTTCATTTTATATGTTTGTTTTAGCGTTACAAACGTTACAGACGGTGAAACAAACAGAAGAAATAACATTTTCATTATTATATATGATGATGATGATTAATGTCGAGTGTCTGGTTGTAAATTTATTTATCTGTTTGTTTTAGCGTTACAAATGTTACAGTTAGAGAAAAAATAACACTTCATTATTATGTCTGGTAAGTAAACGGAACAATTAACTTGTTAATTTTATACATCTGTTTGTTACAGACAAACAAAGAAACATAGAAAAAAGCTGACACTTTTCATTATTATAGATGATAATGATGATTATGATGATGATTATGATTAACCGTAAGCTTACGGTCAAATCACGCTGAAACACCGGTTCTCGTACGATCACCGAAGTTAAGCATCGTAGAGCCAGGTCAGTACTTAGATGGGGGACCGCTTGGAAACACCTGGTACTGTAAGCCCCCAAAGTCCAACCCTTACCTCACAGTCGGGGGGTGGCGTGTAAACGGTAGTGTCAGAGCTATGCCGCCCGGAACTTCGTTCCTGGTAGGGCCATCCAAGGCGGACAGGTCTGACACACACGCCGGCTAACAAGGGCTCTGGTTGAAAATCCAAGGAGCGTCTGCATCGGTAACCGGCGGCTTCTGGTCGTTCCTGTCTCTGCGTCTGTGGGAATCCCGCGGCAAGCAAGAACGTTATCCGAGTAGGCCTGGGTACCCTACTTCTGTAATTTATCCCAAGAATCTTCTTCTCATAACAGGAAGAAGCCGGCTCAATCCGCCCAGGGTGAATGCCGCATCAGTACAGTACAGTAGTGATTATGATTGAAGGGGTAGCTTGTGTTGTTGATTGATATATATATATATATATATATATATATATATATATATATATATATGCAGAAGTCATACAGAGTAACAAAAAAGAGAAAGCAAAATCTCTTTTCATTATTAAGGATGATGGTGATGTGAAAGGTGAGAGTTTCTTTGTCAATTTTAAAATTTTGCAACAAAAGTTATTGCAAAAACAAAGACATTGTTATTGTATGATGATGATGATGATGATGATGGTGGTGGTGGTGGTGTTGGCGGCTGCATACTTTTTTATATATATTTGCGGAAGACAATTGCTGTTATTTTTATTACAAAGGTTTTGTTGCTGTTGTTGATAAAGAGGTTGTTCTTCTTCGTAGTTTGACGTTAACCTTGGCGTTTCTTTCTTTTCATCAATTATTATTGTTCCTGTTTTATGAAAATATATTTTAAATAATGTTCATTAAAAATTATTTCGATAAGAATTCTTTCCGGCCATTGGTTAAACTTTCAGCGAAGTCCTCTTTTAAAACGGCCTTTAAATTTGTTGGCTGAACGAAATTTCTTTGCTCAAGGCCAGTCACGTGAAACAAACAGAGAGTAAAGATCTCACAAGCAATGGTTTTTCAGAACGACCACGTTGAACATCGTTCTATGGCAGGTGTTATCACCTTGTCCAATATGTCTCTTCGCCGGGCGAGGGAGAATGAAGAGTTTATTCAAGATGGCGGAGGCTCGACCGCTGTAAAAATACTGAAAAGCTTTGCACAAAGAAGAGAAAAAATGACAGTAAGTGAGGTGGGGAAGAGAAAGAAAGCAATAAAAAAATGCTGGGAGGAAGCCGAACGAAATTGAATTTAATTGGCTGCCGTGCAAACAGATTCACTTTGTCTAATTCTGGAGCTTTCGAGAATTTAAAACCTTTTCTGTTCAAAGTTGGCTTACGCTGCAAAGAAAGAAAGAATAAAAGAATGAAGGAATGAATTCATGACGTTGCTAGCGGCAATTGGTTTGGTAGGGATTGCCAATAACAAGCAAGAAGCTCTTTGCTTTCTGTTATTTTGTTAGCGAATAGAGAGATGCTTTGTTATCAGCGAGTATTTTTTCCGGGAATGAAGGGTTGTACACACACACACACACACACACACACACACACACACAGAGAGAGAGAGAGAGAGAGAGAGAGAGAGAGAGAGAGTGTGCTTATTTATTTGAATGTGTGATCAAATGAATGAGAAAATGAGAGATAGGAGAAAGATTAAGTGAGAAACTGTAAAAAACAGTGAGAAATACTGAAAATGAAGAAAGAGGGACTGAGAAAGAGAGAGAGAGAGAGAGAGAGAGAGAGAGAGAGAGAGATTTGGGGGAATAACCCCCCATCCCCAGTGATATTCACCCTGCACAAGGCCCTGAACCTCATCCTATTTGCTATTTATAGATAAAAATACTTACCTGAATTTAAAAGTTTATTTGTTGAATGATTACAAAAACTACCTAAGCAACAAAATGTAAGGAACGAGAAAACAAAAAATGGGGAACTTAGAATCAGAAAGTGAGAATTAAATACCTGGGACATATAATGAGGAAAGAGGGCTTGGGAAATTTGATACTCACAGGACATATTTAAAGCTAGAGGGACAGAAAGATACCGCAAGTAATCTACCTGGTGAGATTGTATAAATGGGTGGCATTACAGAGGATGGGAGGGGTAGTTATAAAGACAAATATTATTAAAAACTAAAAAGATGGGAAGTTGTGGAGAGACAATATCGTCCACATCCTAAAAAGACGCATAGCAAAATATTTTAAAAGTGACCCCATTAGGCATAAATAAAGCTTAAATCTCATATCTTCATCGTGCCGTGTCCCTTCGGGACATAGGTGACTCTCCACAAATTTCTCTCCTTTGTGGCCCTTAGTAAAATTTCCAGGATACAGAGTTTCATATTTCATCAGCATTTCGTCGCTAAAATTAAGTGAGAAACTGTGTAAAAAAAAACAGTAAGGACCCCCCCCCTAGAAGAGAACATGACTAAAGATTGTGTGTACGCTATCCCGTGCAGCTTCGGAAAGAAATATAAAGGGGAGACAGCCCCGCCCCCTTAAGGTAATGCTTCAAGAACACCAGAAAGCTGTAACAAGTGGAAAGTGGAAAAATCAGGCATGGCTGACCACATACGGAGAGAGAAAGGAGATTACCGCACTCTGTGGGATCAGGTTGGAAAATTCGTAAACTTAAGGAATCAACACATATGCTAGGCCACAAAAATCTCCTGAGCCGACCAACCATAGAAATGAATACAATATGGGAACCAGTAATAAGGAGTGTCAGAGAAAAGCGATAATAACAACAAAAATTGCAATATGAGCTCTGGTAAAGACAAAAATGATAACAGCAAAAATTGCAATATGAGCACTGCTAAAAATGGTTGCTGAAGACATTAGGTTTATAATACCCAGAAATTCATACACAGATGTCCTCAAGGACACAGGGTACAGAGGATAAAGGCGTTAGTTAGATCCAGTGACAGGACCCAAAGAGTGTGAGTTCAATACCTGGTTAAGAAAGTGAAATTAACAGGAGATAAATGGCACGTGGAACTAGAACACTCTACGTGGTAATAAATATGGCGGCAAAGATGAGGACAGTAGTCCAAATAATGTAAAATTAAGCACTATGAAAACGCCATTAATGCAAACAGAAAAATATGTTTTCACAGATACTAAAAAATCGTTTCGGTTCGAAAGAATAATTAAACAAAGCAAATAAATAATCAAATAAACAAAACAAGGTAAAAAAAAATCCTGACTTAACGAAAAACGATTTGTCAATAATGAAAATTTTCGTTTAACTTTTTCGTGACATGCAATTTAGTTCTTTTGTTTTGTTTTCTCAAACTAAAAATCTAAAATTGACATTTTAAAACCGAAGTGGATATTAATGATTTAAATTTACTTCAGGTGGATAAGTTTCTCAAATTTCTTCCTAGATATTCAAAATCGGAGAGCTGAGATCGAATTCCAGTCAGGTTCGCCACATTCACTTAAGTGCAAAAAACCCTGGGAAAGTTATGAATCCATATCTTCTATGGTTTAAATCGTAGGACTTGTATCTTGAGAAAAAAATCATTGCTATCTTTAAATAATTGTTAATGTTGCAAAATAGACGAATCGTTATTACAATCCAAAATGTTTCGGTTTTAAGTAACTGACAAAGGATTGATAAACTGTAAAAAAGAAACAATCAAATCAAACTATCCCATACCTTCCATAGTTATCTTAAATGCGTTCTGTTGAGAGGAAATAGTTAGGCTTTTATTCAATTTAACATTTTCCAGATTCAATGATAGCTTTGACTCTTTTAGAAAAAGTAGTTGCGAAATATGTGCTGTGGTGTAATGTGGTGTAATGGAAATGGGTTCGAAAGGAGATATGGGCGAACCGAGTTCGAATTCTAGTCGAGTTTGTTACATTCACTTGTGTTGCATAGCAGGAGAGGCCGGGTCCTATAGCCTTGGTTGGCAACCAGTCTACCACAGAAAGAAACCACAACCTACTGCGTTATGTCCGTTATGAATCGAACGAGACATGATCGCCCAAACGTGTATCACGTGATGGCACTTGACTGACTAAGTTATGAAATCTAATTTCCTCTTTTATATAAATTCATGATTTTTATACTGTTCGTCTTTTTCTTTTTTCGATATTTTAAAAAATTTATCTGCATTGATTTTATTGCTATGCTAGGACGTAGGCGAACATTGCTAAGGACAGTTTATTTTTCATATGAATACATTTAATGTGTTGACTTCAATGTTCACTTTTTTAATTTTTTTTTTAAAAAATAATTAAAATTTAAGGTCTACTTCTGTATCGAGCACTGCTTTCTAATGAACTTTTGATCATTAACTGTTTTTTTCTATTACATCAACACAAGCGCGCGCGTGAGCACAGACACACACACACACATGTATATGTATATATTTATAGCTTAATGTCATCGACAAAACCAATATTAATCTGAAAAGTCACTTCTAAGCTCGAAACGCATCATTTATGAGTTTTTCTATTATGTCATCCAATTCCCACTCTTTTTATATTTAGATTCGTATATCTTATATATATATATATATATATATATATATATATAGAATATATATATATATATATATATATATATATATATATATATATATATATATATACACACAGATATATATATACACACAGACACATACACACACACACACACACACACATATATATATATAAATGAAATTCGGACAATTTCTGACGGAATTTCTTCATTGTCGGAGAGGTTTTATTCGTAACTTAGAAAAGTCAATCATTACAATTAATCGACAACAACGAAGAATTTCATATAGGAATGCAGTACCATGATTTCTTAGGAAAGGTAATGAGTTTAGAGTAGTCCTTCTTCTAGACTAGCTGGCAGTCAAGGCTCGGGATCCTCAGTCTAAACTGCTATTTAATTGGGGTGGTGATTGATTGATTCCTTGATGCGTTTTTTACGACTTATCAACACTTTCCAGGTTATTCAAAACCAGAAAATTTTTTTTAGATTAAAAGATTTCTTTTAGATAATAATGATTTAGTGATGGAAGTTTTACTAATTAACCCATAGCTAGGGGGAAGAAGAGGTCTATTCATACCCTTCCAAATGGTATTTGCATATATGTAAATATAAAGAACACAACTGGAATTGAAACTCGTTTCTCTGAATAACAATTTCGAGCCATTATCCATGACACCCCCTGCACATCTAAGCTTACAGCACCTGGTATTCCCAAGCAGTCACCCACCCAGGCTCGACGTTGTTTAACTCCGGTGATCGTACGGGGACCGGTGTATCAACGTGATATGGTCGTAAGTCTGGGGTGGTGATGAAGAGCTACATTATTCCCTTTCTCAAGTGTATTAGTGCGAAGTGAAAGCAGGTTTGGTCGAATTTTGAACTCAGATCGCCGATTCCCTTCTGCCATTTTTGCTTTTACAATATTTTTTATTATATTTTTTTTTAGATAATTTTTTTTTCATTTGGGACGAATGCGATCATGTTTCTCTACAAATGTCTTGTCCTTCAATGTGCAAGACCGCCATGACTTTTTGGGAAAGATAGTCAGATTGTTTGCCATTGCTTTCTATACATATTTGAATTCAGAATAGTTCTTCCACTAGACTGACTGCCAACCAAGGCTACAAACCCTAGTCTATTTATCTGGTAGGCTGGGTTGGAGAGTTGCTTTTACACCTTCCTCAGTAGCATTAGTTCGAACTGAACGCAACAGACTTGACCGGAATTCTGATTCGGATTCGGATGACCGATAAGAATTCTTTGAAATTCTAGAGCATAAAATATAAATTAAAAAATCAAAAAGAACCTTAGTCCCTCATCAGCGGCTGGATATACTTCAGTGGATGCCTGAAACTGCGGATAATACTGAACCCTATACATATGAGCGGTTAGCGAAATGTTCTAAGCTTATCCCATCTCCCTCAAAATAGGATCAAATAGAAAAACAATATTTTTGTATACTTTTCTGCATACCTAATTATGATAAAGTCTAATTCATAAATTAGGCAAAAATAAGAGATTAACAACAACAGCTAATATCAAAACAATAATTATAACAATATCCTGTAATAACAGTTATATGACAGGCAGAAGATTCATTCTTACGTAGATTTTATTGGACAGTAGAAGAGATTAACAACGATAACTAATAATGATAAAAAGATATAATAGACTGTAATGAAAGCTGTGTGATATATAGAAGATTCATTCTTACGTAAATTTTATTGGCATCATAAAAGATAAACAAAAACAACAACAACAACAACAACAACAAATAATAATAATAATAATGATTGCTTGATCGCTTCGTTTTCTACGGTTTAACAGCCCATTGCAGGTTATTTAAAGCCAGAAAATGTTTTTATATCTTAACAATGCTTTTTTGGTGGTGGGGGATAATAATGATTATAGTGATACAAATCTTACTAATTAACCCATAGCTGGGAGGAAAAGAGGTGGATTAATACCTTTCCGAAAGGTTTTTGCGCGTAACTGAATATAAAAAAATAACCCAGCTGGAATTTAAGCTCAGCACCCTGATTATTAATTCCAAGCCATCATCTTTTAACCCACCCGAACATCCAAGCTTACACCACCTGGTAGATTATTATTATTATTATTATTATTATTATTATTACTACTACTACTACTACTACTACAACTACAACTTAAAAACGAAAGCAAAAGCAAATGCAATCGAGCAGTTACATAAACGATGGCAAGATAAGCATCATCATGGTCAATATTCTACCCGTACCAAACACGCTCATGTAGACAAACGTCGTACCCATCAGTGTCTGTGTAATGCAGGGTCACAATCTAAATCCAAAGGTTTTTATTCTTGCTGTAGAGAACCAATGTGTGCTAACTAGAAATTCCGAAGCACAAGTACCGAAAATGAGTTAGCGCAAAATGTAGATTCTGTGATAAATATCCAAAAACAATTGACCACCTTGTATCAGTATCTGTCTGAGATGAGGTATTGTAATTATTTACATTGTTCGGACTGTTGTCCTCGTCTTTATTGCCATATTCACGACGTTTCGGCCATTTTACACTCCGGTGAATGGAATTTCGAACTGAACTCTTTGTTTGGTCCACCGTGGTAGATTGTTCTAGTTCCACATACCATGCCTCTTGTGAATGTCGCAGTTATCTCCCTTTAATTCAACTCTCCAAGTTTTTGTTCACCACTGCAGTAGCCAGGTATTGAAATCACAACTCTTTGGCGCAAATCACTGGCTCAAACCAACACTTTTATCCACTGGGCCGGTATTGGCACGCAGTAAATATAAAACTCGACATGAGAGAGTGGGCCAATATCTGCATTGGAAAATCTGCAACTTTTATGGAAAGGAAACTACAAGAAACTGTTATGAGCACGACCCAGAACCGGTTAGAGAGAAAGGAACTGTAACAATTTTATGCGACTTTACACCTAGAATGATCAAAGCTAATCGCCCGGACATCGTGATCTTAGACTACAGAGACAAAATGTTCATTCTTATTGACATGGCAGTCCCTGCGGACTGTAATGTATCTTTGAAGATCTTCAAAAAGAAATCTATCAAAATACAAGGACCTTGAAATCGAAATCTCAAAAATGTGGCATATGAGGACATCAACAATTCCAATTGTAGTGAATCCGTTAGAGTGATTGGAAAAGGTTCCGATAGATTCATTGAAGGGATTCCTGTTAGCCCATGCCTTAAAGAAATAAAAAAAATGAGCTCACAAGTACATCTCACTACTTCCGAAAGTCTTAATCTATGTAAAATGATGTGTGATCTTTTTTTTTTTTTTTTCAAAAAATGCTCAGTGGAAAATGTTGATATTTCTAACTTTAAGTCTTTGGCCTGGAAAGAAATAAGTATACACCAAAGGAAATAATAATAATAATAATAATAATAATAATAAACAGAACAACTACAGCAATACACTGTAGTAAAAGTTATGCGACAGAAAAATGTTCTTAGATCTAATTAGGTACAATGAAATGATTAACAAAAATAACTACTAATCAAGTACATCATTCATAGTAAATATACCCGTAATAACTGCTATGTGAGGGAGAGAAGATTCGTTCTTACCGTAGACCTTACTGGCGTAATAAGAGATGAACAGCAATAACTAATAATAAAATAGAACAATTATAGCAATATACTTTCACAAAAGCTATGTGATAGAAGATTCGTTCTGACCCACAGGAGTGACAAAGTACAATCGATTTCTATTTTTTCCTCGGATTAAGTCATTCGCAGTGGTGTGCAGTAATATGGATCTGTTTTCGGGGTGTATGATGAAATTTGTTTGGCCTGGAAAAATATTGCATTAAATTTTCATCTCGCCCAGACACTATTGTCCCGACTGTCGATTAGTTGTCCTACGGCCATTATCTGCGATGGACGTTACTCAAAGGCAGCGTATGAAAATTGTAACGCTGCACAAACCCACTGGCCAGCCTTACCAGTGAACAAATCAAAGTACTATCGGCTGGCTGGGAAACTCTCCTGATTTTAATCCAATCGAGAATCTGTGGTTAATCTGCAAGGAAATACTTCGTGGAATGGGCATACAAAGTTGTAACATATGCCCTGGGTCATTTTTCATTGGAAAAATGTGAAAAAAGTAAATAATAACGGAATTATTCGTTTTGTTTCAATTAATTTGACAAGGATGCAATGTAGTAAAAGTAATGTGGCTTTGTTTGTCCTATAGATGTTAGTAAACTCAACATACAATGTTTTCATTATTAAATTGAGAATCATCATTTTATTTAAAGGAATCACTTTATGGCTTCTGGGCAAATCTGAGTTGGTAATGTAATAATATACTTTGAAAGGCTTTGTTTTATCATTGGCGTTTATATAATAAATGAAATCAGATATAACACTTCAAGAGACAAACCTATTGTACTGGCTCCAAAGATTGCAAATAAAAAAGTGCTCGGAAGAACTACATTCCTTGGTTCCGCCAATTAAAACCTTCACGGCTAGGACCCGCCATGACAGTTACATTGCAGCAAACCACATACATTCCCTCCGTATTCCATCGATGAGAAGTAATTTTCACTTGAACAGACTACCAAGAAGATGTTTCTCCACATTATTTACATTATTCGGACTATTGTCGCCAGGTTGAGATCATAGATAAGGGACATCATTGGAAAGTTCGTAAACTTAAGTAATCATCACATATGCTAGGCCACGAAAATCTCCTGAGCCGACAAAGCATAGAAATTAATACAATATTGGAACCAGTAATAAAGAGTGCCAGAGAAAAGCGATAATGACAAAAAAAGTTGCAATATGAGCTCTGGTAAAAACATGAAATGATAACAGCAAAAATTGCAATGTGAGCGCTGGTAAAAATGATTGCTGAAGACATTAGGTTTGTAATACTCAGAAATTCAAACACAGATGTCCTCAAGGACACATGATACAGTAGATAAAGGCGTTAGTTAGATCCAGTGAAAGGACCCAAAGAGTGTGAGTTCTATACCCGGTTAAGGCAGTGGTGAACTTTCAGAGGGAAATTAACCGGAGATAACTGATAACTGACATCCATTAAACATGGAGCAGTCTACCCCAGTGAGCGAAATAAAGGGTTAAGTTCGACATTCCAACCACCTGAAAAAGGCCGGAGCGTACAACGGCCGAAACGTTGTAATAAATATGGCGACAAAGATGAGGACAATAGTCCGAATAATGTAAATAATGTACATAATAACTCATCTGAGAAATATAGACAGATATTTCTCCACTTACTACAACCTTATCCTGTTCAAGCCTCGTTAACAGTTACCTTACCCTCCTATCCTTATCAACTATCCCTTAACGTAATCCTTTATCTTAATTGCAACCCACGTACAGGTTGAACCTTATTGTCAAAAAATGTAAATAGTGAAAGAGTTGGAATTTCAAATATCGACTTGTCGGTTGGAATAAAGAAGACAACTGAATCTCCATATTGTGACGTAACTTCACACCAAAAAGAAGAACGCTTGTTTACTTCATTTCTGTTGTTTGTTTTTAACTCTCGTCCAGACCAAACCAAACCTATGTCTACCTTTCGACTATCATGCAACGAAAACCCAGGTTTACAAATCTATGTTTCCCTTTTCGACTATGATGCAAACCAAATCTATGTATCCATTTTTATTCTGGCGCAAACCAATCTTAGGTCTACCTTTTTGACTGTCGCCCAAATCAAATCTATGTTTCCCTTTTCGACTATGATGCAAACCAAATCTATGTATCCATTTTTATTCTGGCGCAAACCAATCTTAGGTCTAC